CCTGAATCTATTACGTCTGTTATGGATCAACCTAAATGGAATCATAGATCAAGGTGCATGCACTCGCATAGCTTGGCGAGGCTAGGCCGGACCACTTGTCGTTTTACTTTTTGATGATATACATGTAATTCAGCAGGGCTTAATGTGTAATGAGTTATACTCTTTTGTTGTACCAGTTGTTAACTTTGGAAGTTAAGCCTAGGCAGTTGCTTTTGTGTTAGATTACTCTTATGTAATTGAATTATGAATATGAGATGTGAACTTTTATATCAATGCATGTCTTATTGAGTGGGTTTATTAATTTATTTTGGGGAAGGGGGCGTTTTTTTTTAAAAAAACCAAATTCAGGGGTTTTTACTTTTTTTCAAAGGGAGCGTACCGGGCTCGTAATTTGTACGTGGATGTTAGTATCACAATGGGGTTTGTCTGCTTGATAGACTTAGGTAGGTCATATGCTATGTGCTTGATTGTAATGCTTATTGCTATGTGATATGATATGTAGTTCTGGGATGGATCTCTTGGGTTTCTGGATCTTGTGGAAACACTGATCAATGTATTCTAACCCGGACTTTGCAATAACGCCTCGGATATCTATCCGGGAAATCAATTTGTAATTGGCTTATTGTTTATGTGTTATGTGGAGGAATCCAGTTGTCATGCATTAGGACTGGAGTGTTTAGTTTCGCGACATTTGTAAATGTGTACGTTCTGTGTCTTTATTGTGTCAGGACGAGGAAAGAGTGTAGTGTTTGTGTAACCTGCGAGCGGAAGTACCGTTACCGGGGAGGTTCCGGCAGTGCATAGAGGAGTTGGTCAGGGCAAGGTGGCCCGAGCACCATGGTCGCCACAGCCGAATGCCTTGCCAGAAGATGAGTAAGCTTGGGTATTCTTAGAGCTCGGGAATCAGGCAGCTGGGCAGGGCTCCTTCTTGGAAGAGGAGTTTTCCGGTAATCGGTATTTTGGAGCCGAAGGAGCCACTGTAGGAGATGAGCTGGCTGAGAGAAGATAAGATTTGGATGCTGCATCGGAGGCGGAGCATGAAGTGATTGTACTCCAACTGAAGGATGCGGTCAAGGGTGGAGTACGGAAGGCTCGTGTTGGTGGTATTGGGAGGGTTTGTAATGCTTTTAGAGAGGTTTTTCTGACAGTAGGGGAAGCTGAGGATGATCGTATAGCTGCTTTAGAGGTTGTCCTGGGCGGTTTGAGGTCCTTTACTGTTGTCAGGTTAACTGTAACCGCCCTCAAAATTGTACATTAACACCAACAAAGCATGCTGTTGATATATACTACACATTCTCATTTATTAGGTTCATAACTATATTATGTTAAATCAAACAAATGCCTCGGCTAACAGCTTTCCAGTTAACTTGGTTAACAACAAAGAAGTACTTCTTTACCTTGCCCTTGGTTGTATTACATGTATATACCATCAAGGTAAACGACAATATTCCGCATACAGCCTCCAGTTGTTTTGGAGGTGCATGCTTCTGCACCTGAAATGATTTCCGCAGTATAGGGAGCACGCCCAGTAGAATACACTAACCAACTATGGACATGCTATATATTAGCATTGACCGATGGGGCTAAATGAATTTACTTCGCATAAATCACATTTTATGCCATACGACTTAAGAGTCCAAGTGACCTTTCATTTTCCCTTTTTCAACAGATAAGCATGTCAGCTCTATCATCGTTTCAACAGGTAAGTATAAAAACTATATCCCACATTCTACAACAGATATGTATAACCACAATATCCACAGATAAGCATATAAGCTATATCCACACTCTACAACAGATATGTATAACCACAATATCCACAGATAAGCATATAAGCTATATCCACACTTCACAAAGATAAGCATATGAGCTCTATCTTCACTTCTCTAGACAAGCATATGAGCTGTATCTACGGAGTTCATCCCCTATCTTCTCCCAACACTATCCGGTTTAGAGGTACATCCCCTATCTTCCCCTAAACCGCGGAGTACATCCCCCATCTCCTCCTCTACACATAACGTATACAAACACATGGGTTCTATATACAATCACTCAATACACACTACTACAAAAACAGATAAAGATCACACTTTTTTTGTGTGATGTATGTTATTTAATCACACCTTTTAAGTTTTATTAAAGTGTGATCTTTGGGAGTGTGATTAAAAAGGGTCATTTTTAATCACACTTTTTAAGTGTGCTTAATAAAATCTAGATCACACCTTTTAAGTGTGATTAAAAATATTTAGATCACATCTTTTAAGTGTGATTAAAAATATTTAGATCACACCTTTTGAGTGTGATTAAAAATATTTTGATCACACCTTTTAAGTGTGATCTTTGGAAGTGTGATTAAAAAAAGTAAGTGTGATTAATAACTAATAAAATCTGTGATAAAAAAAAGATTCGACATATTTGAAAAATAATCAATATTATTTTTGTATGCACATTTAAAGAACGTAATACACACTATATACTATATTTTGAATCATAACCACGTATTGAATAGAATAACATCATATATTTCATAAATGAAAATTAAATATTCAAAAGTATATACAAAAGAATTAAATAAAAAAAAATTAACTGTGCTTACATATATTAAAAAATGAAAAAACTTAAAAAAACTAAGTTCTTTAATTCTTGGACCATATTTTGCATCTCTCCAAAAAAAATTTGACCTGAAAAAAGAAAATACAAATTAATCCAGAAACCGCTGATGCATATGAATAAACTAAAAAGTTAATTCAGCAAACCAAAATAGGAACATTAATCATTTCTGGTTGATCTTAATCTTTTTGGAAGTAACTTCCCTGCAGCTTAGTGTCAATGGCATTGTAATTAGGAGGTCACTAATGAGCATAGTATTTAAAAATGATAAATGCCAAGATTAACCTGAAAATTACCAGAGTCACTTGCTAAATGCCAAACCTACCAAATAGTATTATAGTGCTAAAAAAATGAGAAAATTTGGACTATGATTTACAAGAGGCTAGAGGTAAATGTGGCTTTACTCCAGAAGCCCCACAAATAGTTAAACATTGCAAACCTCATGTATTCAGCCTATGCTTCTTGTAACTAGTACCTCGATCCTATTTTTATCACAGCAGGTACATTCTTAGAGTAAGAATGTTAGATTTGCATAACCATATGCCTGATGTACCACAATATATATATATATATAATAAGAATTTTTTTTTTTTTAACAATATGATTTTTCAGTAATGAATTATTAAAAATTATGGAAATCAAAATAGACGGTCAGAACACAACCCAAATGCCATTTACAAAACAGAACAAGAGTGGTTCCATATGAAAACAGTTATGATGAGTGCATGTGCCTCTCCTCTGATGATGAACGAGCTGTGCCCAAATTTCTAACTCAAATATATACCTTCAATAACAAATGATTTCAGATTAGATAGATGTTAGTCGGAAAAGATTAAAAAAAATGTCCTATCAATCGTGAATAAAATGAGGATAAAAGCCCTCATTTCCACCAATGAACCCAGTCAGTCATGGTTGACGAACACAATACATGCAAGCAAAGAGAGATTTTTGCCACGTTGTGTCACATAATCATAGTTGATGACACATAAGAATCTTTTGAGGATATGCGAGAGAATCCATATACCTAAATTTGACTTCTACTCCCAGCAGTGATATTTGATATTGTTCGGCAAGCTTATTTCTTGATGCTTTTCTTGTGATTTTGTGTGAGAACTTGATAGAGACAAGGGAGGACATGGTTGTCAATCACAAACTAAAACAAATTAAAAGAATTAATTTCTCATGTGGGGGAGAAGTATATAAAGTTTGTCAATGTCAAACAAATGAGAGAGAGAGAGAGAGAGTGAATTTCAATCTTTCTCAGCACTCTCATTCCTATAAAATGCAGTTTTACGTGCTAAATTTATTTTTTTTAAATGATCTCAGGATTCAGCTTTTCTAGTACAAGGAGAAAAGTAAAAATCTTACATTATTTTCACTTTGATAAAGAATGATTAACTAGAAGTTCAAATAAAAAAAACAGGGCTGGGTCATGTACATGTAAAGTATAAAACCAAATAGTAAAACCAAATTTTCTATTCTTATCCGTGCCAGAAGCCTTCTCCTCGTTCCTTTTTTGATTTATCAAAAATTTTTTTTTGTTGATAAAAAAAAAAAAGAATCAGAAGCCTTCTCTAGGAAGTCCTTTTCCATCCATCTTTTTTCACTACCAGAATGCCAAAACAAATCTACTACAATAAGTTGTAATATATTAACAAATATGGTAATTGTATTGATTACAAGAATATCATCTTCGATGTTGGTGTTAGTACAGAAATGCAGTGAATGAATATGAAGAATTGAAAATATTGCATCAAACTAATATTATGGTAAGAACTAATAGTACGGAAGTAGAAATCATTATTACCTGAGTTTGGGCATCATCACCATTAACAATGTTTCCCACTATCCTAAGTGCGAGTACAAGAACTGTAGGCGATGGATGATTTGTGAAAAACAAAATTTAGTTAGTTAGTTAGTACTACTTTTACAAATCTGACCACTATAAAGAGAATAACACATGATGACATTTAGCCCAGAGAAGAAAAAAAAAATTCCACTAATTTGCAAAAAAAGAGAATTTTTTTTGAAGAACTAATTCTAGAAAACTAAAAGACATACCAAATTTAAAATCAATGTCACAATGAAGAAGTATGAAGCAAATAGGAACATACAACAGAAGCTCCACAAGCCGTGGACAGACACCTGCCTCAAGCACAGCTTGAATTTTGTCATTTCGACTAAGATGAGAATTTTCCTGAAAAACTTCATACACAGATGGTATAGGTGGGGACCTGGTTCTTTTTGTAGCCTGAGCATCCACATTCTTGGTTGCAAATTTTTTTTCTAGAATCATAAGGTAAGACTGCAGGCTGCTCTTGGCAAGTCCATGAGTTGCTAAAATTTCCTGGCAACTTTGCCTGGTTACCCCATACAGGGGGAGATACAGCAGTTCTGTAAGACAAATCAACAGCATAATCAGATAAATTTGGGGAAAATTACACATATCTTAGGATAAACTATGTGCTACTAACTAGAGCATGTCCGAAATGAACAGAAAATTCTCTTAATAAAAAGCACATGACTTTAACCATTTAACCAACAACGGTAATATTCTTTACTACCATTTTACAACAATGACCAACCAAAAAAATACCAAAAGAGCTCTGCGAACCGCAATTTTGACAATTTTTTAGACAGGTATTTAGTAAGATACTATATGATTGACATGGGATGAGGCAAAGCAGGCCTCCTAAACCCAAAATGAGCCCACATCTACACCTGTTAAAAGGGCTTCAAACCCCATCCAGTATGGATATTCAGAGCAGGTTACCTAATAGTCCCGATATATGCCCATCCTGGTAGACGTTGTCAAGGTACTTGCAGCCCAAACCTTAACCCCAGCCATGGGTCCTAATGCACGATATCCCGTGGGAGTCTGGTGCAGCACAAGACATGTTATAATTAAGAGATCTGCGGTTTCAACTATATACCAGATCATAATTCTGGACCTATTTATTCATGATTTTATCCCAAATTTTCATCAAAAGCAACCAACATCTACAATAGCAATGTCATAGAACATGGTGCATAATAGACAAACTTTCAATGTTTTTATCCTCCAGATGCAGTGGAACTTGTTACTAGATTCTAACCTTCCACTTGCATTGCTTAAGTACGAGCAACATGCTTAAATTTTCCATAACATTAACAAATACACAGTAACGAGCACTCGCCTACACACACAGAAGGCACAGCTTATGTTACAAATACCTCTGAGTTTCAACAAAAGGACCAAAATTGTCAACAGAATGATGGTTTTCTGGGAAAAAAGGTGAATCTGAAGGCCTCTGAGGTACAAGCTGCCCATGATCATTGAAGAGTGAATCTG